GGGCCCGGAGCCGTCTCGAGGGGTCGCAGTTCGTGTTCCGAGCAGATGAACTCGCCCGGGCCGCGACCGGACGGGGATGCGGCGGCGTAGTTTGAAGCGGAGGAGTTTTCCCTGTGCCTCCCAGAGTACGCCTGGGGCTGTCGGCCTCGAACAGGCAGGGTTGGTGGCTGCTGCTGCCGTGCGGGAGGATCCAGATAACCCGCTCGATCCAATCCCCACTCGTTAAATCTAGCCCGCGTTGAACGGGGATTCGGTAGGAGGTGGGATGAGGCTCTACGCGGCCCCTCCTGCGTGAGCAGGGTCTAAGTAAGCCAGCAAGTGGCTTGTCTGCGTGGCCCCTCCGGACGTGGGCTATTTTCATAGCTGCATTAGGAGGATACGCAGGGCAACATGCAGTTTTCTACCCAGGCACCTCTTCCTCTGAGAATATATAAAAAATTATCCTGCCCTGAAAGTTCAGACTCGTACTTCCTAGTGGCAGCAGCCATTTACTAAGTCCTGTGTTTTATCACAGCCGTGTCTTGTGAGCTGGCCGTTTGGAAGGATGCTTCCTCTTCCAGCTCAGGCAGGGGGTTACGCCTATGAAATACACAACTGGTTGGTTTGTTTGTTTTATTTCTACTCAGGTGTGAAACTTCTGTTGCACGGTCTTTGCTCCAACACCACAGTCAAGTCTTTAGATCTGAAGGTGAGTCTGGTCGAATGAAATTCAAAGAGGTGGGGAAGTAAATAGGAGCACAAGCTTAATCAGAGTTAGAAATAGACAGTCCTGGTAGAGGATTGTTCCACAGGGTGTGTGCTTCTGTGAGGTTCTTGTTCTCAAGTGACTCAAGCCCTTGCCTCCCTAACACATGCCGTGACTTTCCAGAGTTACTTTGCAGCTCATCTTTGTCCGTTATTATTCAGTTTTGATAGGAAGTTATTGCTGTATATCTTTTGTAGGTTGCTGCTTGGTCAGACGAGGCACGTGTAGGCTTTTCTTGGGTTTCTGTATTAATTGGAGAGTTACTAGGTGCTTGACTTATGCTTCTGTAGAGTTTATCCAGCTTGCCAGTGTCCTTGCGCTAGCCGGGGGCTTGGAGCTAAGCACGCGCTTTCACATGTGATGGTCGCTCTACTGTGGGAGTGATTTTCTGTCCGTATTCTTCTGGCACGTAACTGCAGTCTGAAACCGCATCACGCCTTTCATTCTCATCTGTGCTGGTGTTAGCCGAGCCCTTTTTAATGAACTGTGGTGGAGCGGTTCTGCCTGTCTAGAATCAGCGTTTTCCATCCCATGGGCCACGTTGATCCTCTGCTGTCCTACGATACTTGTGAGCTCTTGGCTGTGGTGCCTTGCGACACTAATGGTGTATGTATCCACAGTTCCTCCCGGGGTCTTTCACGCGTCAGTCAGCTTTCCAGAAAATTAAACAAGCATTACCCAGGCTATCTGATGGACTGAAATTGGTATCACAGCTGGGGTGCACCTGGTGGTGCTTGATGGGATAGCTGGACTGGGACAGGGCATAGCCTACTGATCACCTGGGACTTCTGTTTCAGGGAAATAACCTGCGAACCATGGGAGCTGAGGCTTTGGGAAAACTTCTTAGGCAGAATAAATCCATCAGGAGGTAAAAAATTGTGTCTACCTCTCTTTCTGTTGTTCCTGACAGATGGAGCCCAACATTAACAGAGGGTTGAGGGTGGTTTTTTGTTGGGGTCAGAGGAATGTCAAGTGGTGCAATTTCTTGTGCGGGATGGGACAGGTGAAGGAGTGAGAACCGGTGGTCCCCTTTCTGAGGATGCATGGCCCTAGCAGCATCCTGCTCTCTCTGAAAATGGGTGTCTATTAGGGATGCTGGGTGTTTGAATGGGTACCATGATCCAGGTATCATCCAGGCTCTTGCATCTGTCCATGAACTCTAATCCTGTCTGGTTTTTCCCTTAGCTTAATCTTGGAATGGAACAGCCTTGGCGTGTGGGAGGAGGGATTCTCCTTTTTCTGCCAAGGACTGGGAGCAAACAACTTTCTCCAGCGGCTAGATCTGCGCAATAACCAGATCAACCATCAAGGGGCTGGAGAGCTGGCCCTGGCACTGAAACAAAATGCCAGCCTTCAGGAGCTGGGTAAGAGCGAGTAGTTCTTTGCCCACCTACATACATGCATGCATGCATGCACGCACACATATATCTTCAGGTTCATTGCAGCCTGCCCTGACCTCTGGCAACTGGCCAGCGTCATTCCCAATTCCTATCAGCCTGGAGTGCTTTGCAGGCCTTGTGGTGGGTGTAGAGGTCACAGCCCCATGGCCTTTGGAGAGTGAGAACTGTAACTGGAATCTCTGGAGCCAAACCTGCAGATGAAGATTGTGTGCTTGGAGCAGAACAGTTCTTAGTGGAGGAGGGAATGGGTTCATTCCCATTTGTGGATGCTGTTGGCATGCCTCGTGCTAGACTCCGAGATGTACTTCACTCTTGCTTTGTCCTTCGAAAGGAATTTTGCCAGAATTTCCTTCAGGAAAGCGTGGCTTTTGGTGCTGGCTCTTTCTCATCCACAGGTTGCGGTTGTGGAAGGAAGGCTCGTGAGATGAAAATGAGAGGGGCAGACTTGTGTACCTCTTGAACTGTAATAGCTCCCTGCACTTTATTGCACTTAAGATCCATCCTTCCCTTTCCTGCTTTGTCATTTTCCCTCCCTCTTGTTCATCTTGAAAAGGGAGACAGTATTCACCTGTGTTTGTGCTGAGATCACCTGGAATTAGTTAGCCGTGCTTGTAGTTGTATAAAGAGCATGGTTACTCTTGAGCCCTCTGCTTTTCACATGTGTGACTACTGAGGTGGAAGTTTTCTTTCTGTATAGATTTGCGTTGGAATAATATTGGGCTTCTGGGTGGCCGAGCTTTGCTGAACTGCCTGCACAGCAACAAGACCCTGAAGAGGCTGGAGCTGGCTGGGAACAACGTTCCTAGTGACATCCTGAAAGCTGTGGGTAAGTATTACTTGTTGCACAGGAAAGAATCAGTAACTCCCCCCCCATTTTAGCACTTGAGGGATATAGAATACTTGCTGCTCCAGAAGAGAGCTATCCCTCCTCCCCGCCCTTTCTCAGCAGCATTTACACAGTGCCCTGCATCGCTTCCTCTTGTCCTTTAATGAGGGCTGGCCAGGTTGGAGGTGTCACTTTTACCAGAAAGAAGAAAAAAATCATTTTGATTGAATTGGAGATTACAGTGCCATGTGAATGTGGGAGAACTTGGGGCTCTGGTTTGCCTCTGAGTAGCCAAGTTTGGATATGGCTGATGCAGCATGTCCCTTGTCATTGTCCTGCCCCCAGTGGAGCTGAATGGCTCTCCTGTGGCTGGGGTGTTGATTACCCCATATATGCTGCTCTCTTTGATTCTACCCCACCTTATGCCTGTGAGCTGAGAGCAGTCTCTCTACGTGGGCCAGCCTGAGAAGGGCTACTGTCCTGGCACTTCTGATAGCCAGGTGTCATCCTGAGTGCTGTCTCTTCCAGCAGTGCTTGCTGTTCTGTTGCTTTAGAAACATGTGCATGCTCTCCTGCTCTCTGCATCAGAACAAGCCATGGATCACAACCAAGACCGTCAGGCTATCCTGAGAGAGACCCAGAACCGAACATACATACTCAGCAAGGAGGTTTCGAGTCTGAAGGATGAGAAGACCAAGCAGGTCAGCAATCCTGCATGTCGGCAGCTCAAATGGGGCAGCTGTAATCCTACGCTTTCCCTTGGTGTCCTCACAAAACACTCAGTGACAGGACTATTGTGCACTTGAAGTTGCACGTCCATCTTTATGAGCAGGCACGCAGCACGGTTTAGTGAGTTGGGTCCTTCCTTCGAGCTGGTTTGCTCAGGAATGAAATCCACGGCAAAAAAAAATGCCCTGCTGAACATATTCACTCTGGATTCTGGAGGAGTTTTGGTGATTTTTTTCACCCATATTCGTGCTTTCGGTTCTTCTTTCACAACTGGTATGATATTTTCCAGGTGGTGAAAACTAGAAACACAAGTCTGTTTTCCTTCTGGCGTCTAATGGCACAGAGTCCCTATAGTTGGTGACCTCAGTCAGATGTGCTAATGAACCCATCAGACTGCCAGTTTGCTTGCTTTCAGCAGTGGCTTGATCTGTCTTCAGCTGTCACTAGGAAGAGAAAGATGAGGAATGTAAATGCTTCAAGTGATGCAGTTCGTTCTCTCACTGATGTTTGCCTTGTTCACAGTTCTTGGACTTGATGGACACTATAGATAAACAGAGAGAAGAAATAGCCAGGAGTGGCAGGTGAGTTGAATTTCTCGGTGCTTTCTGCTCTTTGATAGCAGAATCGGGCCCTCTCCATTTATTGGCAGAAATTACCCACCCTTTTTTCTTCTTTCTTTTTTTTTTTTTCCCCCAAATGCAGGATGTCTGCAGCACGAGTCAGCCAGCTGCAGGAAGCATTGGATGAGCAGCACTCTATTATGAATTCACTGAAAGCCAAGTATGGAGGAGGAAAACCGTAGCCTTCTCCCTATTCTGTGCGGTGTAGGCGGTGCTGAGCAGAGCTGTTAAGAAGGGGGATAATCTTGTAGAGTGGCTGGCTTACTATTTTGCTGAGTTCTGCAGCAGTATCCAGGAATTACAGCCAGATCAGGCTTTTGGATTTGCCACGCTAGATATTTAGCCTGCTTTTAAGTAAAATTACAGTGCATTGGTGTAAGAGCAAAGTGAATTACAGAGCGTGAAAAGGGGAAAAAAAAAAAAAAGGATTGTGGGGATGGGATGGGGGCATGTTGCTTGAACAGCTTACAGCCTGGCAAGAGTCTGTACCTGCTTCCCCTGGCAGTTGGCAGCATCCTCTGAGAACCACTGCCGGATACGGAGGAACGTGAGCAGCACGATTGTGTGCTTAGGAACAATGAGGCGGAGCCACCCAAAAGCGGTGTTAGATTGCGTAGAGCCATATGCACGTGACAGTGGTTAGACTTCAAACGCTGATGAGCCTGGCTTGTTCAGTTCTGTCAGGTAAAGGCAGTTTTGTTACACCGTGCCTCAGCATGGACATGTCTCTCATGTAGAGAGCAAGCAAATAGCTTCTGCTGCCTGTGTTTAAAATCCTCTCCCTAATTTTAAACGACCTTGCAGTGGTATAAAATAACCAGTGAGAGCAGGCAAACCCTGGAGGCGTCCAGGCAGGGAAGACAGGTCATGGAAAACGATACAGGGAAGATGCAATGGGGCACCAGAACACCAGGCTCTGAGAAGTCCCAGGTCACTCGCCATTTGCAGAGGCTGCGGGTGCAGACATAAGCAATGTCCTTTTCCCAGGAGCAAAAAATGCCTCGTTTAGCTAGCCTGATTTCATCCACTGCCAAATATGTGTTAACGTCTTGTACCATGTAGTGTAGAGAGCTCGCTGTAGCATCTGCCTTAGAAAGGGCTCTGGAGCGTGTTTCTCTGTGTAGGCTGCAGATGACTGAAGCTGCCCTGGCTCTGTCTGAGCAGAAGGTGCACAGTTTGGGAGAGCTACTGAATGCCACAAAACAGGAACAAAGCAGCATGGCTGAGCGCCACTTTACGGAGCTCCAGCAGCAAAAGCAGGTGAGCTGGATAAGTCCTAGTTAGGTTTGAGAGCAGGGTTCCAGGTCATACTTAGTTTGTGTAGATTTGGGGGATGCTGGATGGGATAGGCAAGTGTGATTTTTAGTGGGTTAGCCACAGCTGCCGTGGCAAAAATTACTGTGTAAATTAAATAGGTGAGAGCTAAGTGTGGAGAAGAGCCATGGTGTTTATGGGGTAGGCTGGGTTTAGCTGGGTGTGGAGTTGGTTGGAGTAGGTTGGCAGTGCAAGAACTAAGGTGATTACGGGTTCTTAAATTTGATTCTGTTTGCAGGAAGGTGCTGATCGGGAAGGCAAGCTTTTGCGCGACTTGTCTGCTGCCAGTGAGAAAAATCTGCTTCTAAGAAACGAGGTAGGAAGGCAAGTCCAAGGCTGAGAAGTGGGACTTGGGCATTGCTCACTTCTGCTCTGTATGCATGTCCTCTACTTTGGCTATTGTTTGTGTCTCTGCCCATCATTCTGTACAGCCAACTTTCTCTGCTAACAGGAAAAGAAAATCCTTTGTGATGGTAATTTTCTTTTAGGTGGATGAGTTGGAGAAGAAGTGCAAAGTTCA